CTAGCCCTGTACCCATGCACTCTGGACTTGGGCTTGTATACATTAATCTAGCCCTACACCCATACACTGGGTTACACACATTAACCTAGCACTGCACATATGCACATTCTGGATTACACAAATTAAGTTAGCCCTACAAACACGCACTCTGCATTATACACTTTAAGCTAGCCCTGTATATATGCACTCTGGGTCACACCTTAAGCTATCCTGAACACATGCATTCTAAATTATACACCTATAAACTAGCCCTGCACACATGTACTCTGGGTTACACACCTTAAGCTATCTCTGCACACACACACACACACACACACACACACACACTCTGGATTGCACACATTAAACTATCTCTGCACACATGCACTCTGGGTTACACACATTAAGCTATCTCTGCACACACCACACACACACACACACACTCTGGATTGCACACATTAAACTATCTCTGCACACATGCACTCTGGGTTACACACATTAAGCTATCTCTGCCCACATGTGCTCTGGATTACTCACATTAAGCTAGCCCTGTACATATGCACTCTGGATTATATACATCAAGCTAGCCCTTAACTCCTGCACTCTGGGTTACACACCTTAAGCTATCTCTACACACACACACACACACACACACTGGGTTACACACATTAACCTATCTCTGCACACATGTGCTCTGGATTACTCACATTAAGCTAGCCCTGTACATATGCACTCTAGGTACACACATCACCCCAAACTTCGGGACTGCAACTCTGGGCAGTAGCAAATGTATTCACATCCGTATGGACCCGTGTCACTGAAAAGAAGGGACAGGAAGTGAAGAGGAGGTGGGATGTCCGTCCAGGAACCTGGCCATCAGCACTGTACACGTAAGAACTCTGGGGCCGCCCACCCATTGGCCCCGTAGTTCTTGAACTTTCTCTAGCACAGGGAGCAAGTTCAGCGGCCTCCCTTAGAACTGGTGATGGTCTCGGCTCCCATGGATGGGACCAGGAGGATATCAAGATCAACGCCCTCTATAAACTGCTCCCGAGAGCACATGCCTGTGTCACAGACAAGAGCACACAAGTTCTTCCCTCCCTTCTATAAAGGGTCTGCCTCCCGTTTCTCTTCAGGTGTTTTCAATTCTGCTATGCGACGTACTGGAAGAATGGCATTTGCAGCTGTGGCTTCTGGTCGCTGTGCTTAAGAAACCACAGTCAAGTGTCTCTTCAGACTTTCATGTCCCTTTCTTGTGTGTAGAAACGGCTATTAGGTGCTTTTCCTTTACCTCTAAAAGGAAGGCGCAGTTAGTTAGTAGGAGATGGTGTGGATGTTGTCTGAGTGATCCCAGGGGTCCTCAGGTCAGTGAAGGCATGCCCTTGACAGGGACCGTAAAACCCTGGCTGAGCAAGTCACTCCTCCAAACATTCCCCACCGTCTGTGCCAGTCAGAGGCCCAGAACAACCACTCCACCCCATCTTGGACTGAAACCTCTCAAGCCATGAGTAGAAATAATCCTTTGTTCTTCATAAGTTAATTGTGTCAGGCATGTGTCAGCTAAGACAGAAAGCTAGGTAACACAGGCAGAAATTAGAAATAGCATCAAACTCATTCCTAGGAAAAATAAGTCCCCAATTAAGAATAAAAATCCTATATAAGCCAAATTCTTAATCGTTCCATTAGAGCTTTTCATTCTTTTCATCAAATAGGACCTTCCTGTCATACTGACACCCTTTCCACTAAGTGCTCCCCTTGGTCAGCAAGGCAACCACAAAGTCAAGCGCCTAACCAAAGCCTCAGAGGCTAACTCTGCCACCTTCCAACTTAGCAGAAATCTGGGCAAGCCCTCCATTCTCTCTACATTTACACTTACCTCTGAGATAAGAAAACTTCTAGTACTGGCCTCAAGTAACTGCATGGTGAGACACATAATGTTCTACTCACAACTCGTGACTCACCATAAGACCTCAACAAATGGCTCCTGCCTATGGCAGCAGTAAAAGGGGAACAGCAGCAGCAAGAGACGTCTAGACTATTCCCCAAACTTTATTTCCTCTAGGTTCACTATTTTTCAATTATTTTTGTTCGTCCGTTTTGGTTTCTTTGACACATGTCACTGGGACTGGCCTTGAACTTACTACATAGCCTAGGACAACGTTTAACTCTTGCTCTTCCTGCTTCCGCCTCCCAAGTGCTGGGACTATCAGCATTTGCTGCCATGCCTGACGAGCCTCACTCCTAGAACAAACCTAAGAACCTGCAGATGCAGTTACTAACCCCATGTCTGTCTTCTCTCTCTCTCTCTCTCTCTCTCTCTCTCTCTCTCTCTCTCTCTCTCTCTCTCTCTCTCTCTCTCTCTCAAAAGAAAAGACTACACAGCCTCCACTTCCTCCAGCCGTGTCACTTCTGGTCAGGAGAACTAAGGAGTCAGTGTGACATCTTCAGGAATCTCTTGCCCTGGAGTAACAATTCTCAAAGTCAGGCTCCCAGAGGTAGAAGACCTGGGTCCTGTGTTGCTATATAGAAAAGATCTGACACTTGACACTTCATACCTCAAGGAATAAGAAATAAATATCAGAATGTGGGGCACATCTTTAATCTCAGAACTCAGGAGGCACAGACAGGTGGATCTCTAAGTTCAAATCCAGTCTGGTCCACAAATGGGCTTCAGGCCAGCCAAGGATACACAGTGAGATACTGAGAAGAAATGGAGGGAGGAAGTGTGTATGTGTGCACGCTATGTGTTGAGCCACTGAGATGTGAGGTCTGTTGTTACTCCACAAGAGCCTACCCTATCTGAGCAAGAAGGATGCATATACCTCCACATACTTCCAAGAGGGAAGAAAAGGGGCCTCCAGTTTTTAAAAAAATTACTTCATTATATTTATTTTACTTTGTCTCAGCCATATATTTTGTGAATATCAAAACACAACACATTGACACTGCAGCCTAATGTAACTTACAAATAAACACGCATGCATAAATGGGAATTGGTGCTCAAACATAAACTCAGTGACAGAAGCAGAGTATAAAAGTCACTGTGGAGCTGACAGACCAGAGACTACCCTCCAAGCTTTTTGCCACTGCTTTCATCATTGCTAAACTGCTTTAACCACTTAGAAAAAGCTGCAGAGAAGAGAAAAGCAACATGGAGCAGAGAGGAAGTGTGCATCGCAGTAACAAGTTCACAGGGAGTTCATGAACCAGCCAGTCAGAGCGCAGCAGAAAGTGGCAGTGAATGTTAATTTGATTTAAGGTAAAGAAGAGAGCTTTCTGTTCTGGCAGAAAACAATCACATTTTCCACATCTGAAAAGCGGTACCAGCCCTGCCAGATGATCAGAGATAAGGTGACTGCTTGTTGCTTACACACACAGAAAGCCAACAAGGAAAGATCTTTGTTCAAGGCATAAATGCATCCACAGGTGCTTAGCTCTAAAGTACCAGTGGTCAAGAGAATCGGGTGAGAGGGTCAGCAAATGACCCCCATCAAAACGTAGTGTATAGCGTTAGGCTGGCTACAAGACCAGGGGCCAAAGTCCTAAATGCCACCGGGAAACCCATGGGCCAAATGGCACAGTACCCTCTGCTCCCCCCCCGAGTTCTCTCTCTCTCCAGTAAGAAACTGAGATTTAAGTCAGTTGGTGGTGGCACACGCCTTTAATCCCAGCACTCAGGAGGCAGAGGCAGTCAGATCTCTGTGAGCTCAAGGTCAGCCTGATCTACTGAGCGGGTTCCAGGACAGCCTCCAAAACAATACAGAGAAAGCCTGTCTCAAAAAGGAAGGAAGGAAGGAAGGAAGGAAGGAAGGAAGGAAGGAAGGAAGGAAGGAAGGAAGGAAGGAAAGAAGGAAGGAAGGAAAGAAAGAAGGAAGGAAGGAAGGAAAGAAGGAAAGAAAGAAGGAAGGAAAGAAAGAAGGAAGGAAGGAAGGAAAGAAGGAAGGAAGGAAGGAAGGAAAGAAAGAAGGAAGGAAGGAAAGAAGGAAGGAAGGAAGGAAGGAAGGAAGGAAGGAAGGAAGGAAGGAAGGAAGGAATTGAGATTCAGGCATAGATATATCTGATTCCAAAGCCCTCGTGAAAGTAACACTGTGTAAGACAGGACGCATACAATAAAGAAGATGGGAAACGGACGCTGGCTGGGCTGAACGGGAGATGAATGCTGGGAAAGCGAACAGTGGGGAGGAAGAGGAAGAGCGTGGCAAGGGAAACCTCAGCAGTGTGCAGGGAGACCAAGGACGGAGCAGAGAGCCCGCGTGCGGGAGGGAGTGGTACGAGATGACACTGAACCAGTAGAAGGTGCCACGGGCTCAGTCAAGGAGGCACAGTGCCTTCTGGAGACAGTCAGTGTTAAGAAGGGAACAGGGAGCCGTAAGAAGGGGACAGTCAAATTCAGGAAGACTCTGGGAAATAGTCTCACTAATATCACTACCATACAGAAGATGGATCACAGTCTACGAAGGCATCTTACAAGGAGTTGATAAATACTGAATGGATAAAGGCTGAAACCAAGCTAAGGGTGCCCAGGAAACTGGGTTTCTCTGACATGGTATCAAGTCCACTCTTGCCAATCCTGTTTCATATTGTTGAGTTTGCTACTTAGGGAATGCTGATCATTCTAAGAAACAGCGCTGGTTTGACAGCAAGAACAATAACAAACAATAAAAAAAAAATCACCAGTCAAGTGTGGCCTTTTAATGTGTAAAGTGTCTTAGCATTTCCTCTTCTATGCGGCAGGAGGAACATCTCAACTGCTGTTGCAATCGCTGAAAAGGAGAACAGAATTAACCACATACAACGTTGGCAACGAGGATCAATTCTCCCCAACTCTGCAATTATGTGGGAAGGTTACTGGAGTAAGGAAATCGGTCAATACGCCATAGTACCTCCTGGGTTCTGCTGTGGCATCCCAGTGAAACAGATTAAGCTGTCACAGTCTTGGTGGTGCCCAACTTTCTTGGTACCTACAGTAAGTCTGGGGCCATCTGTAAAGCCTGGGGACACTGTGACAGGTCAGAACCTACCTGGTTTTCTTCGTGGGAAACCCTCATTTGCTCCTTGAGGACAGACATCCGGGCTGCCTCCTCTTTCCTCAAGACTCTCTCCTTCTTGAGCTCAGGGCTCCAGAAAGTCTTGATGCTGTTCATGGAAGATCCCAGTTTGCTGTCCTTAATGTCAAGTTCCTTCCGTAGCAGGTCATTCTCTCTCTGTAGCTCTTTGAGCTGGGCTTGAAGATCCAACATCGTGCTGTCTCTCACCTGCCTCAACATGGAGGGCACCTGGTGGTGGTGATGGGACGAGCCGCCCAGCCCACCATGCTGATCCGTGTAGGAGAGGACATCCGTGTGGGAGAGTCCAGCGGAAGCAATGTTGGGGCTGCTCCCCATGGCTGTGACCCGGCCTCCGTACACAGCTCGATTTGTGGCCCTGCCCAGAGTCATGGTGCCCTTCGGGTAAGTTGTCGATGCCACCCCTTCGTGGTCACTCAGGTACATGGGCCCGGATGTGGCATAGGCAGCATTGAGGGACTGAATGTTCTCCATGGACAGAGTCTTGCCTGTACCCCCGCCTCCCCCACTACTTGTTCTTCGGTGGCCCAAACGAGGGGACCTTGGCAAACGAGGGGACCTGGAGGGGCTGCCCTCCAGGTTAGCGATTGCTCTCGCGCTCCCATACATTTTCCTTCTCTGACGTGGCGCTGCTGAAGAGAAGAAATGCTAGACAACCGCAGGGCGTGTGCCGATGTTCCTTCCGCTTGGCCGGGATCCTCACCGCACTCTTTGTATAGCTGGCACCAGGAAACGACTCCACTCAGAGACCTGCAAAATGGGGGGGGGGGGGAAGATAATTAAAAACAAACTTCTTTGAAATGCTAACTACAATTGCATTGTATCTTAAAATATATTGCCAGAGGTCATTGGATGCTCTCCAAGAAGGCACAAAGTCCTGGGTTCAGTTCTTAGCATTGAAAAAAAAATCTAGATAGACAGACAGATAGAATGATGGATGAATGATGGACATACAGAAGTAGATGATAAGCAAGGGACAAATATGATTGACAGATGACATAAGCAGACAGACAGATGGAATAAAGTGGCCGCCCATATATTTACTTTATAAGGAAAAATAACTCTGGAACATTTCTTACTACATGCAAACTTTTAAGATAATTTTTTCACACTGTGCCCCCAAACCAAAAGTTATCAAAGCAAAGAGGAAATTCTGTTTTCCATAGGAAAATGAAGTTCCCCATCTTGATCTGTGTCAAGTACGGTTTGGAATAAAAAAAAATTCATCATATGGACTTTACCAATAGAATTACCCATCTTTAGGGACATGGCTCTCAAACATACATGGCTTAACAAGGCCTCTGGGAAACTGCTGCTTCCTTGGATGTCTAACATCTGACATATGTGTTGTCCTGTCTCCTCCTGTGCCCTTTAGAAATCACAGACTTCCTTTCTACTGTGCCCATACAGCCCTCTAGATAGCTTCCTACCACTCAGCTGGCATTGGCACATGACTTGGGAGCCCATTGGTAATCACAGAGCTGGAACCAAGAGGTGTTTCTACCAGCAGACACCTGCACAGAAGAGCAGATTCTCAAAGCTACTGCCAGGAGAAGCAAGTAGTCCTTCCTGTCTCTTCCCCTGTCACAGCCTGGTCACTTGACCTTTATCAGCTGACCTTTATCATCACATGACCCTCTTCCCACAGACACGGCACAGGGGAACAGTAAAGAAGATTAAAGTTCCCGGTCCCCTAACTTCTGAAGGCAACAGAGGCTCCCTACGGTGGCGAGTCCAGCACATCAGAACAGTTTTTACGTAGCTGGGGCCACGGGGTTGCAATTATCCATTCAATGCTGAGCCTCTAAAGGCCTTAACAGGTGCCTCGTGACCTCCTTTTGTTGGGAAATCTTCAGTGTGCTTTGATTCCCTTCAGCATGGCAACAGGAGGCAGAGTCTGGAGAGGGGCAAACTGAGGTTGAGATCTCCATGCTAACACAGGTGAGATAGTAACCTTAGTGAATTTCAGAAACTGTCATGAGCTTTAACTCTTCAATAGATAAAAAAGCAATTTTATACCATCTAACTCATTATATTATAAACCAGATGCTATCTATAAAATACCTTTTTGCTACCTAACATAGGAGAGTCAATAGACAGCTTATGTAAAAATAAGGAAATAAACAGCTTTTGTTCTAGTGTCTCAATGGGATTAAAACATTGAAAGCAACACATAGAGGCACCATTTATTTTCATCTGCCTATCATTTATCTGTCCTCCTACCCCTAGACACACTTTCTAGTAATGCAATCTCTATTTTCCTTGAAGAAACTCTTTTAAAACCCATACTTCCAATTCATAAGAAGTAGATGAGGCTGATTCCCACAACTCCATCCTGGTGGCATCAGAGATGAGAACATAATCCAAGTTTGTCTAGTCGTTAGACTCCATTCCAGATATGGTTAGGCAGCTTGAGGAGCGGCGCAAGACCTTCACAAGTCCACACCGTGACTTCAGGCAGAACAGACAGGAAAGATGAGATCATCTTCACTGAGAGCTAGCTGCTTTCAAGATGGAACTCTGAAAATGATGGCTGAATGCTCAGCCCCAAATGGGGCATCTACATTATGCCCTTTGAGACTCCGGGAACATTACAGAAGAGAAGGCTGGAAGAATGGAGAGATGAGAGGAAAAGAAGGTGTGGTGCAGGACACTGACTTCCAGGCACTCCTAAACTCACAGGGACTGAGATCACCTGCCAAGGCTGGGCCTGTCCACATTCTGTACCGAAGTCAGGGCGGGGCCCTGAAGCCCTATCCCTCCCTGGAGGTCTACAGGCATTTATGGTTAATGAGGAAAAGATTTTTCTCTGTGACGTAGTAAACTCAATGGCTCATTAACAAGGAGGACATGGGGGATGGTGAGATCACTCGGTGGCTGAGTAGGTAAAAGTGCTTGCCTTGCAAGCTTGATGACCTGAGTTATACCTTCAGAGTCCATAGTAGAAGGAGAGAAACAACCCTCGAGAAAGTTGTGCTCTGATCCCTACAGGTGTGCCAGAGCACACTCAAACACACACACACACACACTCACATGCTGACACAAAATAATAAGCAATAATTTGAGGGCACACAGTGGTAGAGGGGGGGACTACCAGGAGAAGAAGATGGACAAGAAAGGGTAATGAGGCGTTAGCACAATCAAGACACATCAAATACGAGAATGAAAACGTCAAAATAAAGCCCACTGCATACAATGGGTAAACGCTAAAATAAGAAGAGGAACGATAAATAGGAGACGGACTTCTGGGAACTACCATGTGGAAGGGGCCTCTGCGGTAGTGAGGCTAGAGCCAAAGGCAGCAGAGCTATGCTTGGAAGTGTGTAAAGCCAAGCAAGGGGATACCGTGTGATATTCTGAATCTAACCACCGCTGCAGCCCCGTCTCTCTGGGGCCAGTGTAGTTACACATGCCAGAGAGACGGCGCTAACCGCCCCAGGTCTTAGCCTCTTCCTCCTTCCTTTTCTCATGTGTTTCTTCTTTTACGTAATGCACGTGTGTGCAGGCACATGCGTGTGAAGGTCACAAGGCAACTTTCTGGAGTCAGGTCTCTCCTTCCACCATGTCAGGGCCCGGAGACAGAACTCAGAATGGCAGCAAGTGCCTTTGCCCGCTGAGCCCTCTCGCCAGCAAATACCCCTTCTTGTTGTGGGATATCTGTACACTGTGTGAAGACATATTGCTGTGGTTGGTTGGACAGAGAGCTGAATGGCCAATGGCTAGGCAGGAGGAAGAGGTGGAACCTTCAGACCAAGAGAGGAAGTAGGAGGAGATAACCGAGATGCAAGACACACTTGAAATGAGTCAGACATGCAGAATGGGATAGAGGTAAAAGATTGATTAAAAAAAAAAAAACACTATGGGTTAATTTAAGTTAAAAAACAATTTAACTAAAAACAATTTTATTTAAAAACAAGCTTACGCTACAGGCCAAGCTTTCATAATTAGTAATCAACCTCTGTGTTGTTATTTGGAAGCTGGCTGGGGGGACAGGGAAACACTCGCCACACCTTTTATCTGAGTTCTTTATAATGCCCTCCTATCTGAGCAGGACTGCCCCACCAGTGGCTGTCACAGAAGCAGGAGCGACCCAGCTAAGATGGGCCGAGCAGCAAGGACTCTCTCAGGACATCTTAGAAAGTCACAGAAGCTCCGTGGTCAGTTGTTTCGCAGCTCTGTGGGAGCAATGCGTGACTGATGCCTTTGCCCATACATTTTTTTTGCTAAGTTCTACCTTACTTGGTGTTCCTAACACTTACACCCTAAGGGGTCTTTATATATATGTGAAGAAAATGTTTCCTGTAAATGTTTCCCATTCCCTAAAAGACAGTCTTTAAAGAATTACATATCTCTGTCTACAACTTAGGCACTTCATTTGAAATGTTTACATCGCTCTAAGCTTCATTTCGTTTTCCTTGGAAATACAGCAAAATCATGCTATAGCTAAGATTTTTGTATAAATAATCTCTTCCATAAAAAAGGGAGTATCCATACACCAATAAGAATTCAGTTATATAAATGATGAATGGCACAGACAAGACAGTGGGCCAACATGACTTCATGAATACTTGATGTGTGTGTGGGCACATGCATGCATGCGTGAATGCATGAGTGTATGTGTGTGTTCCTCACACTTCTGGACAGCACAGATATATGCACACACACACTAGCGTGGAGGCTGTAGTGACACACATGGAACTGACCAGTAGTCCCACTCATTTTCTCCCACTTCTTATCTGCATGCTCTACATGCTTTCCATAACGAAGGCAAACTTTTATAATAAGGATTTTCTGGGAGGTTTTCCCTACAACTTCAAAGGTTAACTTAATTTGCTATTTTTACTAAACTTAAGATCTAGGAACTGGGGTCCTAGCTAGGCAACCATTGATACTCACACTTCCCTAAAAAGATCTAAGTGGAACTTGTCCTCCCCTGTCTTCTCCTACATCTGGAAACAGACATTCCTCATTTCCCCAGCTAGATTTGAGGTCTCTCACAAATAACACAAAATTTACACCTTTTCAGAGTTAAACCTCAGTGATTTTGCAAAGCTGGCTGGCCCAGGTTTTGGAGCATGATAACAGCCAATTAAAAATAAATTAATTTGTTCCTTTTGGAAACACACATACAACATACATAACATGTAATATAAAGAAACATTCTCTTGTTCAAAACCAGACTTCCAGAAACTAGGCAAATGATCCAGCAGAAAAGAGCACTTGCTGAGCAACAGGAAGACCCAAGTTCAAATCCCAAACACCCACATAAACTCCCATGAAGGCCTGGCAGTGGTGGCGCACACCTTTAATCCCAGCATTTGGGAGGTAGATGCAGGTGGATCTCAGTGAGTTCAAGGCCAGCCTGGTCTACAAAGTGAGTTCCAGGACAGCCAGGACTGTTACACAGAGAAAAACATTTAAAAAAAAAACTCCCAGGAAGACCTGAGTTCAAATCCCAACCAATCACCCACCTAAGACTCCAGGCATGCCTTCAAGACCCTGTAACCCCAGCACTGCGGTGAGCAGACACAGGAAGATCCCTGTGATGGGCTAGCCACCTAGCTGCAGCTTCAGTGCGAGATTCTGTCTCAAGGAGGCAGGGCGAGAGTGACTGAGCAGGACACCTGACACCGTCCTTCATGCACAGACTGGCACATGCACCCACACAAACGCACGTACTTACACCACACACGCTATAGTCACACACATAGTAAAATAATGAGTATGCTTCCTTGTTTAAAAAGCAGAAT